TGGGACAATGTGGGCATTGAAAAGTCTCCTTAAATCAAAAGATAGGGCTGGTCATATTCCATCCAAGACAAAGGGTTACAGATTTGTCCTGACAAACACTGATTTGGAGAATTATAAACTTCTCAGAATACCTACAAAAGCCTTTCTTTTAACTTATATACCTACCAATACCTGTCTTTCTAAAAACTCCCAACATCACAAAGGGGACTAAATGCAGGTGTGTGTTCACCAACCTGACCCCAATCACCCAGAGGAACCTCTCCCAGCACTTGCCAAGACACAACCACTGAGACACATCCAGGTTTGCTTTTCCCACTGCCTGGGAGCACCCCTCTTCCCAGGAGTCACTGTGACCCTGCATCCATAGAATGTTTGCCAATGTGACATATCATGGTACAACTTAATATCTGCACAGAAAACGTAAGCCCAGTGCCAGATTCATTGTCTTTGTGTTCCTCCTGCTGCTGACGTCTAGGGCATCAGAAGCCCTCAGCAAAAGATGATGAAGACAAAGGGGAGAGGGCCAAAAAAAGCTAGTCACAAACAGCTCTAGAAGGGGCTTGAGGTGAAGAGGGTCACCCACACCGTCCATGGTGCCAGAGCCAGGCAGCTCATTGGCACTATTGCTCCACATACCAACAGGTGAATGCTCTCCCTACCTTGGCCTCGAACTGCCTCTGCCTTCCCCAACCTCAAGACAGCTCACCTGGGAACCAAAATGTTAAGAAACTCTGCTTCATTAAAGGAAGACTCGTGGGGAGGTAAACAGATGGACAAATTATCAAAGGCTCCATTGTGCACATTCAAATAATTTTGTTTACAAAAGATGAATGGTAACTGAACATGAACTTGGGGATGCCCCAGAATGCATATCAAACAATGTTGGCCAATTAAAACCATAAATGAAGCTGCCTAACACACACTAAAGTTCTAGAGAATATCAAACATTTGGAGTTTTAAAGAAAACACGGATGCATTAAATTATTAATGACATACTTTTATTAATCTTTGTCAACACAATATTTTACAACTTAGAAAATCCTGGTACATTCATAGTTTCATTTGACCCTCAGAAAATCTCTTGAGTTAGGCAGAACAGGCATTACTAACAACTAACGTCCTTAATGGATGACAGAACTGAAGTTCAGAGGAGAACTTGGACTTAACAAAAAGCCTTTCAGAGCCAGTTTCTGAGTTCCCCTGAGCAAAAGAACAAGTGTAAGCTATCCTTAATATACTATTCTTATTTATATCCTGTCAGCATTGAAAAAGGTTTTGAGCAGCCTGCAGTAAAAAACATCTACATAATCAGAACTTGACAATGAAAAAGAAAGAGAAAACCATTGGGCAAGCAAGGAAGGCAGGAGTGAAGGGTAAAACAAAGACTGAGACCTAAAGTCTAAGAAAAAAAAAATCTCTGAATTTCTAGTTGTAGGCAAAAAATCCTTAAAGGAAATAAGATAATTCATAGAATCACCATAATCTGAAAAAAGGGACATATCATCATTGTTTAAGACACTCCTGGCAGCCACAGCCACCTCTCAGACACCACACCAATAGTATCAAACCAAGGAGTGCTCCCGTGGTAGATGAGTCACATTCTCTGTCCCAGCCCTGGGCAGGAGCACTAGGCCAATTCTGAAACGTACACCTCAAAATCTATCTCCTCTACCCCCACACATCCCCTCCAGGAGACCCCTTTTCATTGAATCAACATAAAAATCAAGCCTGGTACAAACAACAAACATTCTCAGTGAAGAACAAGCACTAACTAGTTAAGTCTCAGTTAAACCATAAAGAATATTCAATCCAGTTTTTCTAAAGTGAGATTCCCTAACTAAACAAACCCCCTAGAGCATATAACAAATAATCTTTTTTAATTAAGAAAACAACACAAATAAAAAAAAAGCAAAAAGTGCTACTTATTTATGTGAAGTCATAATACAGTAGCATCACTACTTGACCAAATAGCTATCATCTCTTTTTAATCCCTGTAATCATCCAAATAACTAAGACTGGAAAAGAAAATTGTGTACCCTTTCTACAGAGACATGTGGCTTGAAGAAACTCAAGCACACCAAAATTCCCCCTCACCAAATAGATAAATTGAAAAGGGGTTTAAGGTCTTAAATTCCTTAGAGTTGGAGCTCCCTTATAGGTCATTTAACATATGATACAACTTTTTGCAAGTTGTAATTTTAAACTATGCTTTAAGCTGTTATATAAAGCCATCAAGTAGATGCTACTTGAGACAGTCTCAAAATTCTATTTATTTTACATTCTCCAAAATAAAAACCCTTATGAATTGGGACACAGAAAAGCCTAAAGTTGGCAGACTTCATATTAAAAATTGACAAAATGCTCCTGAAGAAAAATCTGCCCTGACAATTTCATAAAGGAAAAAAAAAAAAACTAATGGGGTAGAATTAAGATGTTGCAAGTATCACATACTTGTGAAGAATACACAACACCAAAAGGTTACTTAGGGTCACTGTAGATGTTTGTCTTTAACACTAGATAGTATACACCAAGCAAACAATCTTGTTTAAAAGGAAAAAAAGGAGCTTTCTCTTTAGAACACATTTTCAAACATCTCTACCATTTGTACCATTGCCACTGAGAGAATTTTCCTCTGCTATATTTGGTTGAAAAAAAAAGCAAAAGGTTTAAGGCAGCAGGTGGTTAACTGAGGGTCTTAGAAATTATCTGGTTTAAGACCCTCAAAAGTGAGGAATCTGAAGCCCAGATGAGGCAGTCTTACAGGAGCAAACAGTAAATTTATTTATTTATTTATTCCAGACCCAAAATTAGACTCAATAAATTCCAATCAAGTACTCTGTGCTATGCAAGACACTAGGAAATAACAGAAAAAAAAATTAATCTAAAGCCAGCCCTTTGGAGAGCCAAGGATCTGCAGGTTTACAATAACATGAAAGACTGGATTCAGGGTATAGAAACAGGACCTCTCTGGCTACACCTCTTCCCTGCTCAGGGCACAAACTTGACTCCCTATCAGAGGATATTTCAAGCTGTGCTGCAGTTAACCACCTACTGCCCAAACTCACACTGTCTCTGAAGACATCAGGCAGGGAAGGCTTCTGAGATCAGGTACTACTAAAAGGAATTTGGGCAAGCAGGTAGCAGCACAGGTGAGGACAGAACTGACAGATTATGTAGAGCCCTAAGCTTAATATGGATCTTACAGTAGTGCCAGCTAGCTGATTAGCACAGCTTTGTCTTTCTTGTAGACCAGTTATGTGGACACCACCTCTTGTTGAAAAATAATTTCAGGTGGGACATTAGCATTTCTGGTGACTGCTGTTGTTTTCCCTCAACCATAATGGTCGGTAAAAAGAAACTGGGGTTTTGTGTGATTTTGCACTGCTGGGGAAGAGAATCTCCCTGGGACATAATAGATGTTTTCAAACGTTTGATGAAAGGGAAAATGATCCCACTTAGGGGCTGAGAAACACAGAGGACCTAGGGACAGCTTCAGGTCTTCCCCTCCATCCCAGATGGGAGGTTCCCCCTCCCCCAACCTCATCCTAGCGCTGACTTCATAAATCTGACCTCCAACTGTAACTGCCTTGGCCTCTTTCCCTGGGTGTGGATTCTCCTGCTTCAAACGCATTTTCCAGCCCGCCAAATTCTTGGGAGAGTTTCCTCCCCTCTCCAGGCGCTGAGAGCTACAAAGTTAAATCTGGCTTTCCAGTGTGTGCGTGCGTGTGTGTGTGTGTGTGTGTGTGTGTGTGTGTGTGTGTGTTTCCTCCTTCTTCCTAGTGCTAACGGAAGAAATCAAGAAGCGCTGGGCAGAGGGGCTCTGCTCCCTCCAATCACAGCCAGCTCCCAGACCAACAAGCATCCCTGCTGAGCAGGAAACTCAGCAGCCAGATGGGGTCCTAGCGGCGGTGACAACCCCGCGCTCCCCTGGGACTGGTTAGGGTAGGAGAGCTCAGCCTGCCGCTCCCGCAGCTGCTCACTCTGCAAATAATAAATCAAAGAGCGGTCGACAGCGCGTCCGCCCTGGGCCAACTGCGCCCCCCGCCCCCGCACAGCCTGGCGCACCCGCGGGTGCACAGCCCCCAACACACAGCTGGTGGCGAAAAGGGACCACAGCCCCACAAGTCACAGCGGACGGGGCAGAGCCCCCGCGCGCAGGTCCACGCTGTCACCCTCAATGACACACTGAGGTAGGACACGGAGACCTGGTCCCCACGAGCAGTTCCACGCTGTCATCCTCAATGGCACTGCGATGAGAGTCGCTCATCGACTGTGCCACTGTGGGGCACGGAGACTCGGCCCCCACGCGCAGTTCCACGCTGTCACCCTCAATGCTGAGCCGCTCACAGCACAGTGGGACAGAGACAAGACCCCACGCGCAGTTCCACGCTGTTACCCGCAGTGACACACGAAAACCCAGTCGCCACGCGCAGTTCCACGCTGTCACCCTCAAAGAAACACTGAGATGTGAGCCACTCACACATGGGTAGGGCACGGAGACCCGGGCTCCACGCGCAGGTCCACGCTGTCACCCTCAATGACACACTGAGATGTGAGCCGCTCACACCGCGGTGGGACAAGAGACAAGGATCCCAGGCGCAGGTCCACGCTGTCACCCTCAAGGACACACGGAGACCCCGCACTGGCCCACCGAGTGCCTTCGGTGGCACAAACCCAGAGAGCCTGCCACTCGACCCAAGGGCAGGGAGGGGGCCCCAAGCGCGGGCCCGCGGCCGCCCTCATTGACACGCGGGGACGGTGGCCAAGCCCAACTCGCCGGACGGCTGGGACCCCACGCGCGGGTCGCAGCAGGCGCGGGGCCTCGGTGCCGCCCTGAGGCGAGACAATGCCCGGGCGCACGGCGGCGCCACGGCCCGGTCGGTCCCCGGCGCGGTCCCCCCCCGCCCCGGCCCCCAGTTCAGGGCGGCGCCCCTGGGACCCGCCACGGCCCAGGACCCCCACCCTGCTCGCCACCCTGCGGGCCCCGCCGCCCGCCTCACCTCAGGCCGCGCCTCGCAGCGCTGCTCCCGCCCGGGCACCGGCCGAGAGAGCGCAGCCCGTAGCGGCAGACGGCAGAGCCGCGGCGCCTCAACAATGGAGCCGGGGCGGGGCCCTCTGTCTCGGCAAGCTCCCCTCTCCGCCGGCTCCGCGCGGGGATGCGGCCGGCGCGGGGATGCGGCCACGGACACTGCGCACGCGCGCGCAGCCCCGCCCGCCGCAGCGCCCCGCCCCAAGGCCGGCTCCTGGGCCCGCCCTCCAGCCAATGAGAAGAGAGGAACTTGGAGGGGGCGGGGCCTGGGAACAAAGGGAGGCAGGGCGGGATCTGGCAGGCTGGCCTGGATTTGGGGCTGCCCCCTGCGAGGCTGCTGGAGGGATCAGCACAAGGACACTGGGTCTCAGTGCAGCAGCCAGTGCTCACCCCAAACCCCGAGCCCAGGTTGTAGAACTGAGAGTGAGAGACAGGCATGCTTAACAGAGGGAAACTGAGACCCAAGAAGCAAGATCACCTTGTGCCCAAAGTTACATAGTCCCTTCCATCGTTTGCCTTTTAGTCATTCAGCAAACATTTCGAAGCATGCCCGTGTTTGTTAGCAATGGAGTGAACTTGGGCTTCCCTTGAGGAGTTCTGCCAGGCAGGACCCATTTCTCCATCTCACTTTAATGTCTGAAAATGTTGCAGGGGACAGACAAGGCAAGACACCAAATAAGAACAGAAAGCAGGTTTATTTGGCTATAGCCAGGTTCAGAGGACAAAGCTTTTACTGTAATCCATCAATCCCCCTAACTGCGAGTTCAGGCAGTTTCAGAACGTTATACCCAATGTGTAAGGGGGGGGGGGCTCAGAAGTTCACAGTCTGCAGAAGTTCACATAAAAGCAGCTTTTTCTTTCACTGTTCTGGGCAAGTTAACCCTTCAAGGACAGCACCTGAGAAGGGGGAGAGCTACTTCTCCCCTTTCTTCCCTCCCCTGCCAGCTGTTACCATGGAGCCCAATCAGTAACCTCTTCTCTGTATCTTTGAAACATAAACATCTCTGTGAAGCCCCAGCCCAAGGCCAGAGGCCTAGTTAAAAAATATGTTTTTCTTAGCACACTCTGCATTTGTGAACACACTCTACAAACTATTATGCATGTTGTTATTTATGTTAGATAGTCCATAAATGCTTGTGGAAACTAGTAAAGGGCATTTAGCACCTGGAGTGCTGATTTCTTCCAGGCTAGTGGCCAAGGAAGACAGAGCATCAGGAAATAGGGAGTCTGACTACATTGAACTCCTTTGTAGAGATTCTTGTGCTGACAGTCCTGAAATCAATTTTGGGGAAGATTTCTGGAGAAGCTTAATTAATATTTTCTGTGGAGGTGGGGGTGCCACTACAATAAAGGAGTTGGGACTAATCATGCCTTTTCCTGCCTCAGAGCTATTACATTGGCCATTCCTGGCCCCAAATGCCCCCCTCTGTCCACCTGCCACCCCCATTTACCCAGTACGAGTCTGGGAAACCTGTCCTGGTGTAATTCAAGCTTTGCAAGGTCTGAGTTTTCCTCTACCACACTCTCACTGGCTGCTTCTCCTCTGCCTTCAGGACCCACCCCCATCCACTTCTCTGCCCAAGCTGACATGGTAGGGTGTCCCCTGGCTGGAGCCAGTGAGCTGTTGGCATGAACACCTTTCCAGGACATCTCTCTGTCACTAGCTTCAAACACCAACCACATGCTCTGGTCTCTGCCAGACCCCTCCAGCCCTGACCTCCCGTACCCCAGCTGGACTTGCAGGGGGAATCTCAGACTACTCATGGCCAGAACAAAGTGCTTCCTTCTCCATCCCAGCCTGCTCCTCCACGTGCTTCCCTTCTAGCGTCTCGGCCCCACTCACACACCCCCGCCCCGGTCCTCCCCTTTCCCACAGCAGCCAAGCCACCTCCTTATGGACCTGCTGGACTTTTCCATCTGTGTAGGCCTCTGCTCCAGGAGGTGAGACCTCTCTAGGACCTAACGGGGGCAAACTCTGATTCACTTGTGTGTTCAGAACAGGAGCTAGTGTCCTGAGGGCAGGCCAAGAAGGCTGGCAGGATGGATGGCAAGCAGACACGTGTTGACGGTGGCAGGGGCTGATCCAGACCACCGCCCTTCACACACATGCATACACACTTGTGTATGTGCACGCGCATACACACACACACACACACACACACATACTCGTGCACACTGCCGAAAGCCTGGGCTCTAATGGGATCTACCAGCCAAGTTCCTCCATGAAGGTGAGAAGCTTCCCCACCCCTTTCCAGCCAGGACCCCACTGTGGCTTGAGATGTCCCCACTGATCAGGAAAGAAGACTTCAGGGAGTGACCCCGTAACTATGAAGGGCATTGTTCCAGGCCCCAGGTCTCAGCATATCGCCCAGACTGACACACTCTTCTCTACCTGCCTGACCAATTTCCACTGACCCTTTCAGCCTCACCCTTAAAGTCAATTTCCAGGAAGGCCTCATGACCACCCCCCAACACCAGGTACAGCTGTGGCAGCCACACCCCAAGGAGCCGCCCATGATCCATGCCCTTGTGTAACCCCTGCAACCTTGAGAGCAAGCAGAACCTTCGTCTTGATTCTTCCCTTGAAGGTGGTAGTGGTGATGAAGTGTCACCTTTATGGTCATTTTACATTATATAGGACTCCACCCAAGTGTACTAGAGAAGTTTCACCTGCAGGCTTTTGGAGGAGGAAGCTGTCTTGCTGAGTGGGCCTTTGAAGAGGCCCACCAGACAATAGACAGGCTCTGGGATCTGAGGATGGTCTGCAGGAGGCAGCCAGCACAGAGCTGATATGATAATCAGGGAAGAAATGGTGTGCGCTCCGAAGTCCTGTTCCACCAGTTTCACCTACACGATGCCAATTTTCAGGCTGGTATACATTGATAGTTCAGATTGGTTCACATTTTCAGGGAAAACAGAAACTTCTCTGATACTCAGAAATAACGTCAGAAGAAAGACCCCAGCATGCCGGCCAAAGGGAGAGGACAAGCCCAAACGCAGGGGAGGAAAGGAAAGGCCGCGTGCCAGGGAGAGTCTGCAGGTGAGAGGGCACAGACGAGGGCCTGCGGCTCCCCGCCCGCTCCACAGGCCGAGCCGTGCACAGACGTCACTTTCTCACAGTGGTCAATGACTCCAGGTCAGCACCGAGTTCAGATGGGCTGGCTGCCCAGCGTGAAACCCCTGAGCCTTCTCACCAAGTCCATCAGCATATGCCTTTGCCTGAGAGTGGCCTCATGGTAAGTGCCATCAGACACCGTGGAGGAAAACAGCCTTTTCTAATTTAGGCCATATATGTATGTTGAATTCATTTATATAATTCCACTTCCTATGGTTGGTTGGTTTTTGATTTTTTAAAAAGGGTTTAAAGGTTTTCCCCAAGTCTGTGGATGACATGAACATCCACACTTTCTAGAGGCCTCAGTGAGAGACATTTGACTTCAGACCAATCTCACCTATAAGTATTGAAGTAAAATTCTGAAAGAAAACATCAGCCAAGAACTCAACAGCACATCAAAAAGCAGAATAATAAGATACCTCATTCTTCTCTAATACCTATGAGTATATTCTATTATAATAATAATAAAGAAGAAGAAATCCTGACCAGCAGTTTTCCTCTGTAATGCAAAGATGCTTTCATATCAGACAGTCCATTAATAGATTAGCTTATGTGAAAAGGTATTCTAAAAAGAAAAATTCCCATCATCAACTCTGAGAAATCTGCAACAGTGGGCCTTGGTTCGTCCAGCATGATTTCCAGGTGGCTTTCATGCCGAGGTGATTGCGCCTGATCCCAAGTCCCCGGCGGGTACATGCAAGTTGGTGACTCAGACCCAGTCATCTGGAGCGGCTTCATGTGGCCGGCTGCTTCCAGATTCCTCTCCTGGGTCTGACTGGTGACCGGGCTTTGGCACCCTCCAGCCTTCCCCACCATGACTTCATGTTTTCTTCCCATGTCACTCAGGACCTCCATGAGGTTGATGTCTGGGCAGAATTCACAGCCATGCTGACTTGGCCACCCACCTGGGCCCCAGGGAACTGATTTCATTTCCTCCATGTGGCTCTTTTTCGGGTAGATACATGTTTGAACTGTATCCCTAGGTCAGTCCCAGCCCAGGTCAGCCTGCCCTGTACCTTTGGCCAGTAGTTGACGTTGGCCTACATACCCAGATGCAGGTCTTGCTCCAAGTCTCACTTGGTCTGGGAGTTGCATGAGTTAGCTTCACAGTACTACAATGAAATCCTTGGACAGTGGAATTATGAAGATTTATTTAGCTTACAGATTTGGAGGTGTCAATCCAAAATTTAGTGGCCCCATTGGTGTGGGCCTCTCGTGAGTGTGGTCCCTCCTGGTGGAGAGGTAACAAAATGCTCACATCCCCAGCCAGGAAATAGAGAGCGGATAGACTGAGGTCCCACAGTCCCCTTTGAGGGCGCACCCCCCACAACTTAAGCCCCACCTCTGAAAGGTCCACAGCATGTCCCAGTAGTGCTACCTTGGGGACCAAGCCCTTATGGATGGACTTTGGGGGGCACTATCCATATTCTAAGCATGGCAAGTCATCTGCAGGACAGTCGTGGAGTTCTCAATGCTGGTCCAAGAATCTCCTCCCAGCTCGCCATGGACCTGCTGCAGGGTGGGTCCAGGTGGGAGGACAGGTGGTCCTGAGGTTTGTGTGGTGACCTGGTTGCCCACCAGCAGCCCACTGAACCCAGCCATCGAGCCAGCTTAGCAGCTATCACAGTCCCTGCAGGAGAACTAGTCTGTGAAGTGGGCAGAGGCTGTGGACCCCCAACGCTGCCCAAGCCCCCATGGACACTGAGCAGGAAGAGTGCACAGAGCTGCCACCCAGGCCTGGAAGGACAAGAGCTGTAGGCATCCAGCCAGGAAAGGGTGAGCAGCAGTCAGCAGGTAGCCTGAGTGTGGGTGAGTGTGGGTGGCTGAGAGCTGACGTGGGGCGGGGGTCGGCAGGGAAGGAGCCGCAGCAGCAGCATTGGGCAGGGCACAGAGCTGATCCTGAATGTGTGGGAGGAGTCCTCCCAGAGGCACAGCAGGCCTTGGTGGAGCACCAGGAAGGGGTTGACTCACACCGGCATCTTGGCCTGGCTCCTGGATGCGCCATGCAGCTTCCTGTCCTCGGGCCTGGGCTGGCCTGCTGCCTCCCCTGCCTGGAAGGCCCTCCCCTTGCTGGCTGACCCCACTCACCCCCTTGGACTCACTCCAGGGGAACTTGGTGTTACCTTGGAGGCCTCCCAGACGCCCCGCCTCGCTCCTGCTAGCTTCTCACTGTGCTCCCTCCCTCCACATCAGCAGAGTGGCCCTGAGTTGCCAGCGACTATTGCTTTGCCATCTCTGTGGGCTTGCGGTCGGTCTGGAGGTCAGGGACAGGTCTCCTTTATGTCTGTTCTGGGATATTTGGATGTAACAGTGTGAGAGGGAAGCCAGCTCATGAGGGTCTTTGTAGGAAGAGGGCAACTCAGTGGGGCATTGAGGGGTGAGCAGGAGCTGGTCCTTCCAGGCAGCGGGAGGAGGCTTTGCAAAGCCACAGTGTTGGGGAGTGAGGTGACAAGAAGCTGCTCAAGAAGCAAAGGGGGCCGGAGGAGGGGGTAAGAAGAGGCTGCAGAGGGAGGTGAGGCAAGCGGTGACTGCAAGGAGCCTGGATTTGAGCAGGAAACAGATAGTTCCCCCAGGAGCTCAGTCAGTCTGCACTACAGAGAGATGACTATGACCCTGGAGTGACATGGCATGTGGTAGAGACACTTGGGGGGTGGCAGGAAGGCGGGAGCAGTGGCGAGCCCCTGAGTGCTCTCTGGACCTCCGGCTCAGAGAGAGAGCAGGAAGCCTCTACTGTTCCTGAAATACGGTCCAGCCATGGGCCTGGCACCTCTGGTGGTGCCCCAGGACGTACGACCTCCTCCCTCTTCCACCTGCCATCTCTGTGGCTCAGCGACAGCCTAGGGCTAGGTCTCTGCAGAGCCCATGCCCTACCCAAAGGGAATGGGGAGGCCGCTCACCAAAACCAGGGAGCGGGATTGGAGAGGAAGGGGCTAGCTTCTGGAGTGGTCCAGTTTTAATGATATAATGTGCATAAACTGTGTGATTCATGGGCTCACTCCGTAGCGACAACCTGGAACCCCAGGAAGGGGAGGGAGCACAGGGGCAGAGGACAGACCACAGCCAGGAGCAGACCTGGCTCCTTGCAGCTCCTTAGAGATCTCTGGCAGAGAGAGGCCCAGAAAGTGAGGGGCAGCTGCCAGGGAGGCCGGGAGATAGGCTTGCGCTGGGGTCAAGGCCGTGGGACCGACAGCAAGACATGACTGTGAGCAGTGGAGAGGCTCCATGTCCTCTGCAGCCAGGTTCATCTAGAGGTCTCAAGAGCCAAGGGTGACAGGAAGCCTCGGTACCCCATGGGCAGGCCTCTCTGACAGACAGCACTGCCCTCTACCATCTAGAATATAGCCAACTGCCACCCCACTGGCACAGTGTCGAGTGCCCCACAGCTGGAGCCCAGGAATCCAGCCTGGCCCATGACCTCCTGGGGGAGGCAGGACCCCTCCTCAGGGGTCTGGAGGGAGACAGCCTCCCAGATCATCTCCTGAGCTGGGCACAGCAGGTCATGGTGGAGAACTTGGCGCCTCTGGGTGAAAACCCTCCAGGAGGGCGCTGTGGGTGGCTGGGACTTGGAGGGTCTGATGGATCTTCCTGTGGCGGGGAGAGACCTGCATAGAGGACCACGTGGGTGGCCCCCTGCAGAAGGCAGTAGCCAGGGCAGCTGAGGACTCCAAAGGGATTCACAAGAAGAGCCCCCCAAGCCCTGAAGATTAGTCAGAGGGGTGGGGCCCTGTGCATCCGGGCCAGGGAACCAGCCACGCCAGCCTGGGGTCCAGTGGCCTCCCTTTCTCAGACACAGGCGTACTTGCTTCCTGGACCCCTTTGCAGTTCTGGCCAATGACTGTGACTAGAGGCACCAAGTGTCACTTGTGAGCCAAACATGAAGGCCAGCTAGGGGATCACCCTGCTCTCCCTACCGCAGCTATGATCTGAGTTCCGGGGGCACATCCAGGAAGGAGACTCTGCTGCCTCTGACCTCTCCTTGTCCCATCTGTCCCGGAGGCCCTTGACACCAGCCCCAGGTGGTGCTGATTCAGGATGGTACTGTGGACAGACTCTGAGATGGCATGGGAGACAGGACTTAGCCCTGGGGGTGGGAAGACATGATATTGTGACATGGATATTAGGCCTTGTCTGGTTCCCGGCATACAACTCCTAAAACCCTTGGAATCCCCAAAGTGCTGTTGGCATGCTAATGACTTGTCCTTTGGCTGGCAGCCGCTAGCCATTTCCTAGATGGGGCTGGTCACAGGAAAGATAGGCAGGATGAGAGGACTGGGACTTTCACCCTGGCCCCCAGCCTCTGAAGAGGGGAGAGGGGCTGCAGTTGGAGTTGATCGCCCATGGCCGTAATGTAATCACTCCTACTTACATAATGAAGGCTCCATAAAATCCAAAAGCATAGTGTTCATGTGGTCCTGGATGGCTGGAGGGGGCAGTGCCTGGAGGGCAGCCCCAGGGAGTGCTCTGTGCCCTCCTCCTCTGCCTTGACCTGTGCCAGTCTTCATCTGCACCCCTGGTGATGTCCTTTATGATAAGTTGGTAACCTAAGTGTGTCCTGAGCTTTGTGGGCCACTCTAGAAAATCAGCTGAACCCAAGAAGGAGGTGGTGGGAATCCTGATTTATTAAGGGCCTGTCAGAAGACCAGGTGAATCCATCTGGGGCTTGTGGTTGGCGTCTGGGAGGGGGGACTGTCTCCAGGTGGGTAATGTTGGAATTTAATTAAGTTCATGGACACCCAGCTGGTGTCCACTGAGAGCTCTGAGGTCAGAGCCTCACAGTGCACCTCCCCGTGCCCAGGTCGGATACAGAGGGGTGTGCAGCAGGCAGGAATACAGGTTGCTGCACCTGAGGGGCAGATCCCCTGGCCTCCTGGGGCTCCATCTCAGCCATACTTTTTCACCTTCTGGAGCTACCCAGCCACTAGCCAGAAGTGGCTCTTCAGCTTTCAATGAATTAAGATTTAAACCTTGTGTTCAATCCCCCAGTCACTATTCAAACAGTGGTTGCTCTGTTGGTGAGAACATGGATCTAGAACATTCCCAGTATCGTGCAAAGCACAGCTGAACAGCTCTGATCTGGAAGCATGGTGCCTCAAGACACTTCCAGGTGGGCACAGGACCCAGAGCCCATCCTGTGGTCACTGTGGAGCACTGGTGGCCTTTGAGTTGGACAAGGGACACAAGGGCACACCATGGCTTTCTCATAGAGGCCAAGCAGTCTCCTGGTTAGTCTCTTCAACCTGCCCTGGGGCAGGCAGGAGCCAGGCCCTACCCATTGCTACCACTGGTACCTGGAACTAGCCTGGGGAGGGGCTGAGGAATGCTCCTGAGCAAGCCGAGGCCAGACCAGGCGCTTCCCCTGGGTCAGAGGTCCCTCCTGGGGCCTGGCCCTGCTCCGTGCACAAGCCCAAGTTTGCAAGAGGCCTCGCACCTTCAGAAATCACACAATCACACAAGTGGCTCTGCAGGTTGACAAGTTACAGTAGGGCGTCTTTTATTACCCCAGACTTCCTGGGGTCAGACTTGACACCGGGCGGGAGGGAGGGGACAGGGTTTCCAGTTGCGCAGGCTCGGGTGGCTAAATGGCAGGAAGCATTAGGAGCTAGAAGTCCCCTCTGTGGAACAGCTGGGCTGGTGAGAAGCTGAGGGCCAAGTGGAACTTGGTGTGTCCAGGACTGTGAGGAAGCTGAGTAGGGACGACTCAGGGGCAGGGCTGGGCGGGACCCACAGGGCCAGAAACTGACCCCGGTTTCCACCCACCCTCCTCTGCACCTCGTCAGTGCCCTGCCCACCTATCAATGCAGACAGTGCGTGTCACCTGGGGGGCCCATCAGCCAGCCTCCTGCTCCCTCCACCCCACACTCTGCTGGCCTCACAGATTGGAGGCGACAAGGGCTCCACCTTCTCCTCCAAAAGTGTTTGGTGCCTGTGTGGGGGAGGTGCACGGGGACAGGGTCCCCACGAGTGTGGCTTGTCTTACAGTGGATAAGGCGAGGCGCCGCTGGCCACCACCAGGACGGTGCCCCGGAGGCCACAGGGGACCAGGCTGGCTACGGGGAGACCTTTATTCCAGAGCCACTGGGGGAGACTTGGAAAAATGAGGCCAAGGAGCCTTGGCAGCCACGAGTCACACGGACTTACACACAGCGTCACTCAGAGGGTCAGGCTTCAGGGCGTCTACGTGACACACACAGGGAAAGACAAGAGGAAACTCTTGAGGGTCCTGTCTCTCGGGGACGCCACGAGCCGGGGCCACAGGGGCCCGCACGGTGGGGCGTAAGGCAGAGGTGCTCCCCTTCCCCTGTAGTGTAGAGCTACGCTCTGCGCGGGTGTCGTCCTATGTGTGAGTGAGCTATACTTTTCTAAAAATAAAGACTTCTGTGTTACTTGAAAGGTCTCACTTAGGCCTCAGGGGGTGGCTGGAGGGAGCCGTGCCTGGAGCGCTCGGTGGCACCCTGCCCGCGGACGCTCCTTCCTGACCAGAGCCGTCAGGGACAGGTGTGAAGCTCGCCCACCCAGCGCTGGGCTCTGCCCCTGGCTCTCCTTCTGCCTCCTGCCCTGGCCTGTGAGTCTGCGGCCTCCAGGCGGGGCCACCGGCTCTGACAGCGCCTGTCACTGAAGAGCCTCTCACAGCCCGCGTCCTGGCCACCTCTGCGCCCCAGTGCCGGGCACTCTGGGGGTGCCCAAAGGTGGGCCACCCCTGTCTGGTGTTCGGCCCGGAAGCCGAGCGGCCCCTGGGAAGGGCTGAGTCCAGCCAGGGGTCGTGGCCCTAAACTAGAGGCAGGCGCTTCTCCGCACGCCGGGGGCTGTGCCCGCTGGGGCCCTCCTCCTGCCCAGCCCAGCTTCCCCCGGGGCCCCCACCCGTCCCACTGACACAGAGAAGCCACGGCGAGGTGTGGGGTGAGGGGTGTGTGGCTCTGGCGGGGGCTCCTTGGCGCTGCCCTGGCGCGGCCCGTGGGGAGGGCTGGCGGCCGTCAGAACAGCAGGGCCTTCTTCTTGAGGTCGTTCCTCTTCCACAGCGCCAGGCGGTCAAACTCCTCGATGCTCATCCCAAACACCTCCTGGAACTCCTCAGGTGACAAGTGTCTCTTCAAACGGTGAGAAACAGAGGGGACAATTAGTGGCTTCTCAGCTGGGCCAGCTCTCCTGGCTCTCGGGCCAGAGGCAGGCTGGTGCAGCCTCTCGGTGGGCCTGGGGGTCCCCAGTCCCTCTTTACAGGGAGGGAGCCCAGCCAAAGGAAAGAGGCTCGGGGGGACAGGGGGGCCAGCCCAGAGCTGCGGCCGGCATCCTCCACCCTGTCTCCTACCCATGTGCCTTCCCTGTGTACCTTGGGGACAGGGCTGTACCTGCCCTCCGTGTCTGAGCTTCCTGTAGCTGTCCTTAGAAGGCCGCAGTCCCCTCACTGAACTCACAGCAGGTGTCTGTGACAAGAAGTGGGAGGTTTCCCATCTCCCGTTTCCCAGCTGGGATGCCGAGTGTGACCAGAGAGTGAAGAAGCCGGCCAGGCCCCAGTGCAAATCCCACCCTTCCCGGCCCTGTGTCCTGGAGCCCAGTTCCCGGGCTGGGGCCACCGTGGAGACTCTGCATGACCTGGTGGTCAGGCGCCTGCCTCCAGAGCCTCTGTGGTGCCATGTGATGAAGCTGGCCTCCAGGAGCCTCAGCATCTGTGTGGCGGGGTCACTACAGGGACGAGTGAGTCCCTTCAGGTCAGCACTCAGCCAGGAGCCGGGCCGTGGACCACAGCCCAGGCCCTGCCACGTTAACTACAGAGGCCACTGTGCCAGCCACCAGCACTTTGTGGCTGCCATGCACACGCCTGCTAGGACTCAGTCTTCCTGGAGGCTCAGGGAGCACCTTCTCCCTCCTGCAGACCTGCTCAGGTGGGCTGGGCATCCCCCTCCTGAGGAGCCTTCCCAGAGGGTGGGGCGCGGCTCCGCTGGGGAGGGGCCGAGCAGAAGGGCCAATCGGGAGGCTGGGATGGGGTGTGGCCAGAGAAGGTCAGGCTCTGCCACCTATCTGCAAGCGTGGCCCGTCATCTGTGTGGGAAGCAGTGGAGAAGGCACTCCAAGTGAGCAGAAGACGGTGAGCTCAGCCGTCCACTCCTAGTTGAGACCCAGAGAAGAGGACCAGGGACTCCGGCGTTTGTACACCTACGGCCTCAACATCGTTCAAAGCAGCCGAAAGGTGGGAAAAGCTCAGTGTCCACCCACGGATCCACGAGGCGGCAGCTCAGCCTTTGGAAGCAAGGAGTCCTCACCGGGGTCAGCGAGGACGCCTTGAAGACATGGGCCAAGGAAGGAGCCAGACACCCAAGACCGCTGGCTGCATGACCGCGTGTCTGTGAGACGTCCAGCGCAGGCCTGCGGTTGCCAGGGGTGGCTGGGAGAGGAACGGGGAGTGTCCTTTGGGGTGATCAAAGTGTCTTGGAGTGAGTCAGTGGTGACGGTCACGCACCGCTGTGGGTGTAGGAAGGGCTATGGGATGGGACGCTTCAGGGTAGATAAAGTGGTGAGTTTTGCCACCATTTTAAAAAATTCTCGCCAAAAAACGGGGGTTCAGTTTCCTCAACCTTAAAACAAAGTCACTGATACTACAGGTTGCTGTCATGGTCAGGAGAGAAAACCAAGGTCGGGACATGGCAACCTCCGGAAAGCGTGGACATGGACTCTGGCCATTGTGAATCCCACACGTCCCTCCTCTCTGTAGCACTGGTGTGGAAGTCCATACCAGTGACCTGGAGGGGGTGACCTGGAGGACGTAAGCCAGGACCCCCCAGAACCCTGGGTCACAAAAGCCACTGCTGATTGAACCTGGCCTGGAGTCTCTCTTGACAAATCCCCCAGGAAGAGGCCCTCAGCCCCCTGCACCTGACAAGTTTGAACCAGGAAGGGTCTGGAGCTTGCCAGACATTGAGCATTCGCATGGGGTTGAGACTGGGCTCTCTGTGCTGAGAAGCCTGCCCCTCGCCCACAGAGATTTACAACGGTCACTTCAGACTCCATCTTTAAAGACACAATGACGATAAATGTGTCATTCAAGCCCTTCCCGGTGTCCCATCAAGATGAAATGGAAGAAACCATAGAAGGAAACTCATCTGCCGCCACCGACCCGCATCGCGGGCCTGTGATGCACACACCTTGCTCTGGACGCTGGGGAGCCGCTCCACGCGTCCCTTGGGGCAGGGCAGTTTAGCAGGCAGCGATGACCCAGGCTGAGGCCCTCCTTCCTGGGGCTGGAGAGGCTCCCTCCTCAGCCCAGAGGAGCCCGGGACCAGGCTGCCTGCCATTTCCTTTTTCAAGGGAAAAGACCAGGTGCCCATTGGGCCCCTGGGCTTCGTCAGGGCTGGGCGTTTGCTGGGGACGGTGCTGGAGCAGGAGAGAAGGGACAGTGGCTGAGCACAGGCTAGGTTGGGGGAGGAGGGCAGGGCAGGTGTGAGGTGACACCATGGGCTTCGGACCTCAGCAGGCCGCAGGGCAGGACTCGTCACGGGGAAGGAGGGAGGGACTGCACTTCCAGGGCGGCCATGTGTGGGCGGTTGAGGTGGGTATTGGCCAAGGGGATGGAGGGCGCATCTACCATCCTGAAGTGACAGGTGTCCTCTAAGGGAGAAACCCTGTGGCCCAGATGCCGGAGTCACCAGAGGCCCCAGGAGCAGCCCGGTTTGTCAGATAACAGCAACAAGAGAGACTGGAGGTGTCCCCGGCATGTGGGCTGGGCTGGGCCACTTGTGTGTGGCCTACAGGGCTCAGGAAGGGGCTGAGCGCTCCCATTCTGGCTCTGGGCTCTGAGTGGCCAGCATCATCCTGGTAGTGGTGGCTTGGTGGCCTGTGCCAGCTCACCTGTATGTCCAGGGAGGGCCTCCCAGGATGCTGGCCCTGGCTCCTGCTCATTGAACCTGTCAGGGGCCTAACTGTGCTAGTGACCTGACCTCGGTTATGCCACCTGCAAAATGGGATTAAACGAGACCCAGGTGGCGTCTCCGCCGTCCTCCCAGACCCCCCAGCCTCTCTGTGTTACACAGGCAGGGATCCAATGGCTGGAGAAGAAATGCCCGGCCACCGGCCTCCAAGATGCATGTGTTGGAGCCCAACAGCCAAGGTGACGGCAGGAAGAGGTGGGGCCTTGCAGGAGGGCTAAGTCACAGGGCTCAAGACAGGGCGGGAGCCTCGTAACAGAGCTGGGAGGGGCTGCCTGGCCTCTGCCCACTGCCCCTGCTGGCCACAGTGGGACTGCCACTGCCAGGAGCAGCAAGAGGCTGGGCATGACCTGAACCTCCTGCAGCCTTGACCTTGGGCTTCCTCCCTGCAGCTGGGGGCAGGGCCTGTCCTGATCCATTCCCACCTAAGGCCATTGCTGCTCTCTGCTGGTGGTTAGCTCTTCGTTGCCCCCCTGAGGAGCACCAGGTGCTGGGCACACAGAAGCCAGCCAGAGCAGCCCACCCACCCCAGCCCCACCAACCCAGCCAGCACTGCCCCCAGCATCCCTGGCCCAGCAGAGCTCCTAGAAGTGACTCTGACTCTACCTTGGAGCCACGGCACCAGTCTCCTGCACACGAAGGAGAGCAGCCACCACCGGTCACCACCACAGAGCAGTGGCCAGTGAGCAAAGGGAGGGGTGCCGCTGTGAGACTCCCTGCCAGCCCTCTCCCCCAGGCTCTCTGCAGAGGCAGCAAGCTGAACCACAGGCAGGGGACAGTCCTGCCACCTGCAGCCAGCCGGCAGATTCGAACCCCCAATTCTGCACTGACCGAGGGCTGCGGGCCAGGCTGGAGTGAGAGTCTGTACCCATGTCTGTCCTGGGAGTCTTTTCCTCATTCCAGGCTCAGCGATGTTGTGTGACTTGCCTAAGGTCACGTATCTGGGAGGCAGCAAGGCAGGCCTGGGGCCAGGTGGCTCGAATGCCCAGTCTTTGCTCCGCCCTCCCTCCTGCCCCCAGTGAGTTTTCTGGGGATGACTTGTGTTTGCAGCCTCAGGGGCCAAGTGTCCTCTACCCCAGCTTGGAGCTACCCACCAGCCCCTGCCCAACCCCAGGTCCCCTCCAGGGCACTGCCACCACCCTACACCCCACTATGTTCAGAATCCCATGGAGAGGCCTCCTGACACCTCGTTCCTCTTCCAGCCCCTAGTCACAGTCGCCCCTGCACCGGTGCTGCTAGGGGGTTTCAGGAACCAGACCCGTGAGGGATGGCTTTTTTCCTGAGAACTGGCTCCCTGGTGTCACTGGGTCCCACCACCTCAGCCTGCATGAGGTCCCATGGCGAGCCTCATTGTGGCCCTGCCTGCTCCCCATCACTCCTCTGCTCCACAGGGGTGTCTGCAGCCCCAGGGGCAGGCTGCGACCTGCCTGGCTCTTTCCCACTTTGCCGGTGGCTCCTCGGGTCCTATAGGTCCTGACTAACTTGGGCCCTCGGGCCTGCACTAGCCCCAGAGGCCCCAGGGCCAAGCTGACCCTGGCCCCAGGCGCTGCTGACCTGGCTGCCTCTCAGCTCCAGGAGGGCAGCATGGACCTGGCTGTCCACTGTGCCCCCTGAACCCCTGCCCAGGGGCAATATCTGTTGGCGCTGGGCATCTGTAAGTCTGTCTCCCAGCTCCCCCTCTGCCTCCTGCCCCGCTCACAGCTGCCAGGCCTGCTGGCCCTGGCCTCTGTTGGCCCTGGCCTCTGTTTCCGGTGCTTTCTCCAGCCTCCAGAACTGCACGTGCTTCCCTCCTGTATCTCCTCTGGACCAGGGAGCATCTGGTGGCTTCAAACCCCTGACGGCCACTACCCTTCCAGGGGGCACCCCCTCCTCAGACCAACGGTGGGTAAGACAGAGGGGGGGCTTGACCCCCGGGGCTGGCTTCCCAGCATATTCCAGCTGGGGGTTCTTACCACTGAGCAAACCAGGTATGAGTTTAGCCCCTGGGCCTGGCAGAGGACAGCCCGGAAACCACGGGGCGCCTCTTTCTCAGAACTCCCAGCCCCGGCTGTGCGCCAAGTCCTTCAAATAAGTTCCCAGTCTGTGTCTAGAAATTGAGACACAGAATTCAGTCTGTGTTTACGTCTGTATGTAAGCGTTTATCGAGCATCGTGTCTGCATGTGCATGCATGAGTCAGCCTGTGCCTCTGTGTGTGCTCTCTCCATCCAGGTGCACACGCCACTGGTGTCTGTGTGTCAACACATGTACGTATCTACATGCATGCACACACACACCTCCATGTGTCATGCATCTGTGGGTCTGCGTGAGTGTGTTCTTTGCACAAGCACATGTGTGTGTGTATCTACTTGCTAGTGGCCTGGCTCTAGCTCACACCTAGAGTGAGTGCTCTAGAGGGCTGGCCTGGCAGAGGGCCAAGCCACAGGGCATCCCAGTGGCTCTTGGTGACACCTTAGGTTGAAGCCCAGCTCTGCCTCTCCTGAGCTGTGGGGGCCAGGGACACCCACCTGGTCACCTTGCCAAGTTGTGGAAACCTCCGTTAAGGCATGTCTCACCTGGAGAACACCTGGTGGTCAGGTGGGACCAGATCCCGTGACTGCCCAGCCCCACCTCTGCCAGTGCGGGGCGAGGGGCCCTCTCTCCCCTGGCAGCTGACTCACCTCGGCTCACGCAATCCCAGCGCCCAGCACCCACATGGTTGGTGACATCAACTGTGTGCAGAGGATACCTGGCCGGTACCTGTCGTGGCAGGTGCTCAGTGAATGCCAAGCAACTAAATGAACTCCTGACGTGCCAGCAGGGCAGGCACCACGGCCGTCACTTGACAGGTGAGGGCCAGACCATGGTCGCCACTTGACCGACAGGCAAGGGCCGGGCTCAGAGCGCTTAAGCAACTTGCCCCAGTCATGTGGCCAGGCATTTGGAGGCTGGACTCGTAGCAGGTCACCCTGAGTGTAAGAGCTCGCCCACCCCTCGGGATGCCACCCGGGACAGCAGGAGCTGCTCAGCAGAAGGACAGCGGTGTCTTGTGATCAGTCGGGGTACAAGTCATTGGAGGACCCTGACTTTGCTCGGGTCATAAAGGCTCCAGCCTGTTGGACTGAGAGCTCATGGCCCAGGACCCCCAGAGGAGGACTTAACACAGGAAGGGCCTGAGGTCCTCCAGGGTAGGAGGGCCTTGTAAGGTGGCCAGGGACTGAGACTCAGATCTCTGGGACAGAGGTGCCACTTCCCAGGAAGAGCATTACACTGGGCCCTGGGGGGCTTCCCTGGGCACCCACCTGCTGGTCCTTGCCCTGCTCATTGGTACCACGTGATCCATCCGACCCCCTTCCATGGTCAAAGCGGACATCCTGCCTGGTTCATGAGTCGCTGATGATAACTGAGACCTACTGTGCGGGATGAGGCGCCTACATGGTGCTTTTCACTGCTGCCAGGCTGAGCACCCGAAATGCCCCCGGCCTTGTCAGCCAGGGTGTCAATCATTATCATTCCAGGTGCACTCTGCCCCGCCGAGTGACGGCCACCACACAGGGATGCCATCGGCACAGCCTGGAGTCTACCCGAAACGTCCTTCCCTCGCCTGAGGTGCTCTCTGTCTCTGACTCCTGCGCCTTGACTTCCCAACACCACCCGAGTCTGCCACCACTCCCCCGGTGCCACCACCTCAGGCACCACGACACCGTGTCCCATAACAACAGTCTCCCTGCAGCGCACGGCCTAAGCTTCATGATGCAGCCACAGGGGCTTTTTAATTGCAAACCTAACCACACAGTCCCCCAACTTAAGAGCCATTTTCTCAGGCTAAGACCCAAACTGACATGGCCCAGGATGCTGAGAGTGACCCCTCCTCACTTCCCAGCTCAGGTCCAGCCACCTCAGCCCTGTGGGCTCACATTCCAGCTCCCAGCCCCAGGGGCGCCCCAGGTCTCCGCCCACTGCCCACCTGTGAGGACGGCCCTGTCCGACTGCTCCTGGCTCAGCTGAGCCGCAGGAGAAAGACAGGCCACCCTTGGTGTGTCTTCACATATTTGAAAGATTAAACTGGCCCCCTGGGCAGCAGAGAACTCGCCTGTGGTGACCACTAGCCTCTGTACACTAGCCCAGGCCCCCAAGTGAAGGGGAAACTAGAAGTGACTTAGGCACAGCCCAGCGCCAGGCCCAGGAGGAGGCGGCGGGCAGGGCCAGGCTGCTGCCCTGAGACAGGTGAGACCTGGAGCCCCCCCGCTCTCATCTGAGCCTGGAGCTGGTGGGGACAGGCCCTCTAGTGCACTGCCCCCTGCGTGCTGGAGACAGTGCCAGACACCACCCAGGAGCCGTCTGTAGACAAGGGAGCCTGGGACGCCTTCTCTGCCAGCTGGGCGGTCATACCGGAGGCAGGGCAGAGGCCCTAGGACCCAGCCTCCCGAGGCCGCCTCAGCTCCTAGCTCGAGGCCCTGCAGGATCCGGGCCTCGTGGCACCTTGGTCACACTCACGCTCGAGCTCCTCCAGGGGCCACCCTGGGTGGCTCCCAGCACCCCAGGACTCACGCCACTTCCTGGCCCGCCCCTCCCGGGAGACCCCAACTCCTCTCCTCCTCTGTGGGGCGCTCAGACGTCCTGCCAGGCAGATGGCGCCCAGGCTCCTCTGCTGCCCTCGTGTGGCCGTGATGTGGGCTGGCCATGCTGCCTGGGCACCTGTGGCCACTTTACGCTCTGAAGGGGCCTCGGCGGCTTATTTTTAAAAGGAGCATCTCTTGTCTTCCTGTCCCTGCGCCTCCCTCCCCAGCCTCAGGGGAAACAGGGTCACTCTCGTCCCCCCTCGGCAGTCGCCTGTCCTCGAGCACCCCACCAGGAACCCAGGACTCAGACCTGGGATGGCACAGGAGCTCTCGGAAATGGCTTCTCCCCGAATCGTGGCTCCACAGGGAAGCCCTGGAAGGTGGCCCGGTCTCCCGGGTGGACAGAACCACAGCTCCTGGACAGGAGGCCCCTGGGCTTCTCCTTTGCTCAAAACCATGTCTCATTATGGACTGGCACCAGGGGCAAGGACGGAGCTTTGGTGGGAGCCAGACAGTGGGGGCTGCTGTGCTGTCCTGTGCCCATCCTGCAGGTGGACACTGGAGGCTGCTTGTTGCCGCGCCTTCCCCCACCTCAGATGGCAGGCCTCGGCCTTCCCCCCAGGGGTCAGCTGGGTCAGTCCAGCTCAGGTGGCCTCAGCAGCCTCCTTAGCTCCGCCTGGGTACAGGCTGAGCCTGTCCCATCAGGGCATTGCACACCCTGGGTCAAACTGGAGGGTTTAGGGGTGATCATCTCACCCATCAAGGTGGGGGCTTTTCAGAGAGAGATGGATCTCGTCCCTGCAGACTGCGAGTCTGGGGAGTGGGGTGAAGGTCTATCTATCCATGGAGTCAACACAGAGGAAGCACTGTTAAGAATTAGGAAAAAAGTAATGGAGTGTTGGAAACATTTAGCCCTTGATCCAGCCATACCTGAAGAGGCCCTTCAGTCACTCCAGCCAGTCCATTTCCTTTATGCTTGAGTCCCTTTGGGTTGGGTACTTATCAGTTACAACAAAGAAGGCCAGATTGGATGAGCCTCCTCCCAGTGCTGCAGCCACACCAGGGTCTCTGTCACCTTCCTCCTGCCACCACCCCTGTGCTGAGGGGCTTTGCACAACATCTCATGGGCACAGAGATTCACTCAAGGGCCATGAAAATCCACATAAAGGCCTGAGCGACGGCGACCACAGGCCCAGGAAAGCCCGTCCTGCTTGGTGTTACTGCTGGGTCCCAGGGCTGACCCCCAGCTTCCCGCGGCTTCCCTGCCCCCTCTGAGCTCATGAAGCTCCTGCCACCCTTAAGGGTCTGACTGGGCGTCCTCCTGCACCCTGGACCCAAGACAGGGTGAAGGACAGGCAGTCGGCAGAGGTAACGAATGCTGGGGTGGCCCGAGAGATGAGGCTCATCATCAGAGAGAAGGAAATGGGTCCTGACACCTGGGCACGTCCCCGCGCACCCAGGGCCAACCCCTTGGCCCCCCAACCCCAGGAGCTGCTCCTGAGTGCCCCTGGGCTGCTCTGTTCCCACCTCGGGGCAGGCGGGATGGAAAGAGGAGCTGGGAGGGGAATCGGAGACCCCGAAGGGAGAGAAGACACCCCTCCCAGACAGCACTGGCCCCTCCTCTCTGAGAAGTCCACTGTCTCTGTTTGGGCTCTTTCTCAGACAAAATTTGCTTTCTGTTTCCTCTGGTGTCGAAGGTTAAACATGGAGAACAGGACCCGCTCCTGAGGGCCAAGATCCGTACCGACACGACCTCCCAGGCGCCAACCCCAGCCACCTGGCTCCCGCCAGCCCCCATTGTCCCATCTCAGAACTCAGCCCTTGGTCGACCTGCCCGGCCTCCGCCCAGCCAGCCCTCCTGGCCTGGGTCCTGCTGGCCTCCTGCTCCCTCTCCCGGCAGCAGGTGAATCACTGTGGCAGGATGCTGGGCAGGGCGAGGGCTGGCCATACGCAGACCGTGCCTCACTTGTCCCCACCCTGGGCACAGCCAGCCCATGGCCTTTGAGGCCATCAAAGGCAGCAACACAGTCCGAGGGGGTGGGGACGAAACCCACCAGCTGATCGACCTCACACTGCAAGACAGGTGCTTTGGGTGCTTTGGGCCCTGGTGCATAGTAGGCCCGCAACAGACTTTGTTTTCAGTCAACAGATATCGTCCGGCTCTACTCTGCGTGATGTTCTGTTGGAATCACGAGACAGACACTAGCTCTCCACGGACAGGCTTCCCCTTTCCCGGCCGCGCGGAGGTGGTCAAGGGAGAAGCGAGAAGCCGGGCCTCCGGGAGCCCGCCCTGCCCCTCCACACCCTGTGGCCCCCCAGCAGAGGCCCCACTGCTGGGCCCGTGACCAGGTTCTTGAGACTTGGAAGCCACGTGGGCCCTTGACTCTGAGCCCTGCGCCATCCCCCGGTGGCCCCTGGGCTGAGGCGTTTGACCCTGTGTCACAGCCCCACGTGGCAGAGACGACCCCTCCTCACCTCCAGTCTCGTCCGGTCCACGTCTTTGGGTAGCTTCACGCGGATTCGGTTGGTGACGATGAGCGCGTCATACGGGTAGACCTGCGGGGAAGCCAGGGCTCGCAGGAGGCCCGGGAGCGCTGGGCCAGCGCCCACCAGAGGGCAGAGCCAGGCACACACGTGCGGCAGCTCGGGACACAGACACTCATAGGAAACGCAAGGAGAGATGGTTTAACCTGGGCAGCGGCTGGGCAGGCGCGGGCGGCGGCGGCCTCTTACCTTGTACTCTGTAAGACAAGAGCGAGAGCACAGGGCCCTTTAGGGAGCACGGAAGGCGGCCCAGAGCGGAAGCTTCCCGTCCTGGGGACCCTGAGGCACCTGCAGTCAGCCCGGCCACGCATGGTCTCCTGGTGCCCTGAGCAGCCTGCATGGGTCTATCTGGGGCAGTGGACGGGGCTCTGAGGTCTCCCATGCGAGACAGAGCAGGAGGCATGGCCAGGAGGCTGGAGGACAGACTGGAAGCTGGGCGGCGGCACTGGCTCTCGGCTTCGACGCGGTCTCCCCTGGTGGTGGGCCACTATGAGACCTGCCTCAGTTTACCCTCACGTGCAGTGGGCGCTCCAAGGCTACCTTCTGGGAGTGCTGTGGAGACGGACGCCCCTGCGGCTGACCCTCCCCTGCTCCTTCCCCGTTGAGTCCTCCTTCCCTGTTTTAAACCATCGAGCTCCACCGCAGACGTGAAAAGGTTTCCCTTCCAACTAAGAGCGTCTTAGTAAAATTGAAACCTCCAGAGAGCAGGGCCTCCATGCACACGGGACCTCAGAAGCCAGGGTCAGTCCGACCCGCCCAACAACAGCTGTGAGGGGCTGGTCCTCAAGGTCCCCTCATGCCAGGGGGGTCCCGATGTGCCAGCTCTGAGGCCTGGGGATGTGGACGACCACCCAGAGGAGCAGGCTGCAACACCCTGACGCCGTCACCCTCGTGCGAACCAGCAAGGCTCCAGCAGTCCAGGGGTGACGCGGAGGGGAGCTGGCCGACATGGGACCTGCTCGGAGCTGGGAGAGCGGCCTGGGGTGCAGCCCTGCCACGTGAGCTGGTGGCCACTCCATTAATGCCAGCCCCCAGTCACCCTCCTGGCTTGGAGCCCAGCGTGTCACAGGCATGCCAGTGGCCACACGGGGAGCCAGGGTGCTCTGTTCTGCCCGGGGCCTGGAAGCTGTTTGCCTGAGGCTCTGCTGCCCCAGTGAGGCAGAGCACCCAGCACACCAGGACAGGCCCCGGCACCCCGACGGGAGATGGGAGCACCTCGGGCAGAGGATGGCCTGGAGGTCAGCTGACTCTCCCCCTGGGGGCCCTGTCTGCGGTGCCCGGGCCTTCTGCCAGCAGGCCCCAGAGGCGGCCTCAGAATGAGATGGTGGAGATGTGTTAGTGACCCCGGGCCCAGTCAGAGACCCACAGGGTCCCCGCTGCGTGTACCTCGCGTGCCCCAGCTGGCATCCGGGTCTGCTCCACCAGGGGCCACATTGGCATTCTGGAAAAGAAAGAGAGAGAGGGCGGCAAGAGATGGGCTGCAGGCGGCCGTGGGGCCTGGAGATGCTCCTCCACGCAGGCCTCGAGAGGGGGCATCTGGGCAGCGATCGGCTGAGATGATGGACAGACGCGAGGCCCAGCTCGGGAAGCCGTGTCCGGGCTCCCATCCTCGCCTCGGAGGCGGCCAACCTGCCTTTAAAGATGACCCCAGGAGGGGCGTGGGGGCCTGCTCTGGAGCGGGCATGGGTGGCTCAGCACTGCTCCCTCAGCTCACCTGTGCAGGCACCTGTGATGCCTCTGCGGCCCCTCGCCACAGGCTCACACGCCCTGTGCCCAGTGCTCTGGTGGACCTAGGATCCACACATGCCCCCCGACCCCTACAAGACCACCACAGGGGAGCACTGGCCTGTGCCTCCTGCTCTCCCCCCAGAGGCCCTGGCTCCAAGCTATAGCGCTCCAGGAGCCTGTGTGCCTGTCAAAGTCCACCTGCCCCAAGGCTCCGAGACAAGAGGGGCCTCGTCTCTTCTCTGGAACCCAGGCTCCAGCAGGTCTGTGGGTGACCGTTGAGGATTGAAGGAGCCAAGTGTGCAGAAGTCCCTGGCACAGGGCCTGAGTTGTCATAAGCACTCTTTACGGAGGGGCTGAGAGCCCCTGGCCGCCTGCTCAGGCCTGCCGTGGCAGACTGCCATGTCAGAGCATCATGGCCATCTGTGTCTGGAATTCTCTTTCCCTTCTGCCCACTGGAAAGATCATTGGCACAACCTGCCAATGCAGGGCCCCCACAGGGGCTGGTGCAGCCCTCTCCTGTCCGCCTCCTGCACTCTGCCTGGCACCTGGGTCAGAGAGGCACTCAGATGGCTCGCGTACCTGCTGCCCACAGCGGCTGAGCCCTGAAGTGTCTTATTCATGCCCTGGTCCCCAGCACCTGGACCAGGGTCTCAAATAGGGTCAAAACCATTGGCCACTGCTCCTGAAGCTGGGCCCGGGGACTATGTTTCTGCAGTCCTGCTGTCCAGGGGCTCATGGGCTTGGTCCAGCGGGTACTGTTACAGGGACAGCTGCCTTCAACAGTAAGCAGGAGCTGGTTACAGCCCTAGGGAGTGCCGGAGCGGAAAAAGACCCCAGTCCAAAGCTCTCCATATGAAACAGGGAAACTGAGGCCCAGAGAGAAGCTGGTACCTCCCCGCCGCAGAGCAGGACCCAGCCTCCTGGACGGGTTGGGCGCATGAGTGGGGCCGGAACTGGCCTTTACTCAAAGTTTTGGTATTTTGTTCACCAAGGACTTTCTGCATGGGTTTGTGTTTCTAGGAATATTGCTTTAAAAGATGCGGCATCTCTTGGAGGTGCCTCCCTCGCCCTATCGCCCTATCGTCCTAGTCCCCAGTCCCGGGCCAGGTTCCTCACCCCATCGGGGAACTCTTCACCACTTTCTCGCAGGCCTGTCCAAAATTCTGACATTTTTGCAGTCTCACTCAGACCAGTGCCCCAGGTGCACCTCTCCTGCCAGGGAGCCTCCCAGGAGGCATAAAGCAAGGTGGACCTGCATGCCTCTGCCCACCTCTGCCCGCCCGGCCCAAGGAATGTGAAGGAGAAATGCTGCCACCTAGTGTCCGTCTCCCCACATCACAGTAGTCGGGAGGCCCAGGCTCTTACTTCCTTGCTGCAGAACCAGCTTGCAGGAAAGGACCTCAGGAGGGAGGTGGGCATGGTCAGGTGGAGGAGCGGTCCCAGGGTGGTCCTGGGCAGGGCAGGTGGAGTCTACTCTTGGTCTTCTAAGTGCAGGGGACAGCTCTGTCCTTTTCATTGGCTTGGCACTTACTATGATGGCTGCACTACAGTCTCTGATCTTGCTAAAAGCCCAGGAGGCGAGCATGACCACCACCATGAGGCCCAGAGACGTCAAACAATTGCCAGACCTCAAAGCAAGTACACAGAACTTTGTCCCCACCATAATGTTAGAGGCAAGGACTTTTCTTTTCTAGATTCTAGGAGATGACTCAGAAGATTTTAGTAAACTTGTTGAAAGACAGAGCTGGCCCTGGACTCGGGGCCTCCAACTCCCAGGCACGGGCTCTTTCCAGGACTGCAGTTTGTTATATCAATTTGTTAAGATTTTGTTTGTATCCATGTAGACAAATAGGTGGAAACCAGATTAAAACGACACTTCCAGTGAACCAACGAGATTAGACTTACTATTTTGGCTCCTTAATTGCTATCTACCTTATGGTTATTTTTTGATTATTAAGTCCACGTCTTATTTCAACAGAGCCACTTCCGATCCCTACCACCCTGGCACCTGCTCCAGGTCTGGATTGCCAGGCTGCCGGGTGCGTCTAGGCCGAGGAATGCTCTCGCGGCTTCCTTGGATCGGCTTTGTCATGAGTCGGTGTCTCCTTTTTACACCACCAGCTCCGTGAACTTGTTTAACCTCAACCTCCTTATCTGAAACTGATATCAATGTCAACATCTTCCTCCTGTTTTCAGATATTTTAGCATCTCTTTCTTACCCTTTCACTTTTAATTGTTTAAAAATGATTCTTAAGTGTGCATTTTGTAGTGACACACGACGACAATGCTATTTTTTGGATCCAACTCGACAGCTTTTGTCTTTTAATAAAGGGATTCCTCCTGTTACCATTTAGCAAAATGGAACCACTTTCAGGGAGCCACCAAAAGGTCCTATGGGGGGCCAGTGACCATTCTCCTAACCCCTGACTGGGCAGTGTGCATCTGAGTCACCCTGCCTCACCCACAGGGAGGCCTGCAGCGGTGGCTGTCACTGTCCACTCTGTGGGTGGGCGGTGAGCCTTCCCTGCTGGGCAAGCTTGGCTGTGGGGCCATCTGGCCTTGGAGACACAGGGTACTTTGCACTACTGGGGCCTTGTCACAAAGCCCTTTTGGAGCAAGACCTAGGGAGAACTTTGCCCCTGGAACTTTTTTCTTTTCTTCCATTAGACTCCACAACTGGTCAAGGCCACGTTGAGTCCGTGCCTCGAAGCAGGGAGGCTCAGAGCTCAGCCCTGACGGCTGTCCTCGCACAGTGGCCTTTCTCCTCCAGTCTCCCTCCTGCCTCAGCCTCCCGTGGCCGGGGTTATAGTGGTGCACCACCACATCTGGATTCTCCTGTGATCTGGTCTGACTGCACTTGTACTTTTAATTAGGCCCCTATGAGTTCTTTCTGGATGAAAAACAAACCAAGGAACCACTAACAGTGACTCTGGGGCACCGCAGGCCATCGGCAAAGAAGCATGGACAAGCACTGGTTGGGAAGCCCAGGGCCAAAGGCCGGAGTCCAGTGCTGGGCCTGGCTGCAGGGTAAAGGCTGGTCATTAGGTCGCGTAGCTGGCCTTCCCGCTGAGAAGTAGGCAAAAAACCCACACAAGGTCTTAGAAAGAGTAAAAAACATTGAAAAGATCGTTAGGAGGGAAAACAGGCGCCCAGAACCAAGCTGCCAGCGTGGCCACCCACCTTCCCGCAGCAACACGAAGGCTGAGAATCAAGTGAGGGCGAGCCTGGGCCAGCAGGCCTTCGCCACCAGTGGGCGGAGGACAGGACTTGGTCCAAGTTGGCTCTTAATCCTGCTTCCCTGGTTCTGGGAGGGATGGACCCTGCCCTGCCAGAACGTCGGGCCAGCTGTTCTCTGCCCAGGAGGTGGCACCGGAGACCCCGACCTCTGTGGACACAGGGCACCCAGCACCTTCGCCACGTGAACTGAGGGCTTGTCCTGAGGACAGCAGGCGGGGGACAGGCGCCTCCCTCACTTCCTCTCACACCTGACCTGGGTGGGGACACTTGTCCTGGTTCTGGGGTGCACACCGTGCCCACGACCCTGGGTCAGAGAATGGCTGTCCCAGGTGAGAAGAGAACATGCCAGACGCTTCTCCCGCCCAGGCTTTCCGTGACGGTGCGACAGGAGGCCTGGGCACGGAGCCCTCGGCCCTGCTTCCCCTGTGGAGGACGAAGGGGAGAGACTGCTTCTCACACGCTGCATGCATGTGCGGTCCTGCCATGCTCAACGGGAGGAGCGGTTAGTGGGGGGGCTGCTGGAATCCACCGTGCAGGGGCGCGTGGCCCGGGTCTGGAGCTGGGCCTCGGGACAGACACAGCGGCTCGCCTGAGACCTGAGGAAGCAAAGGCCCAGGGACCCCCTGGCTCCTGGAGGTGGCGTCCCTGCTCGTAGGCATGTCCTGGAGCCCTGGCCCTGAGGAAGGAGTAGGACAGGTGTCCCTGGCTACCCTGGCCACAGACAGGGCCGTGGGTGTTTAGTGCCCTCTCGGTTCCTTTATAGAAGAACTTCTCCAGGCTGGGAAGAGGCTCCTCGGGGACGTCTCCCGGGGCTGTGTGTCCATGCGCCATCAGCACCCCACCCCGCGGTCCTCTGGAGGACTCGAGGGGCTGCGGGAAGAGTGTCAGAAATGAGCTGCTCGTCACTAGGCTGGCTGAGCCGGGGCGCCAGGCTCGGTACCAGCTGTGAGCACCCAGAGGCCCGGGTATCCAGAGCCTCGGGAGCAGGAGCCGGCCCTCCCCGGCAAAGGAACGCTGAGCAGCAGTGACCGACCTCTGCATTCCAAACAGCGGCACGGGGCCGAGGGGCGATGGGTGGTGACCATGCGATGGTAATGAGGGTGGCAGCCAATGGCATCCCAGCCCAGGGCATGGTGCTGGGCTCCGGGGCTCCTGAGCCACAGCAGCCTTCCTGGGCTCCGCTCAGAGGAAGAAGTCGGCCCCCAGGGGCTTCTCGCATCAGGGCCTGGTCACCCTGGTAGTCCCCATCCCCGGGTCCCCCCGCTGCGGTCTTCCTGAGGACAGGGACAGAGCAGTGGGGAGCCATGGAGCCGCGGCCTGTTCTGTTCCTAGTGTGGGAAAAGCGGGGAGGCAGCGGCCCCAGCGGGGCCTCAGGCAGAGGCGGGCTGCGAGCAGGGCCAGGCCGCTCCTCCTGGCTGTGGTCAAGAAGCTGTGTCGGGGTCGGCAGCAATGGCAGGTTAGTACCCGGCGGGCCAGGAGGGGTCAGTACCTACCCGACGGTCCAGGCCATTCGTCCCATGTCTTGGGAGGGAGTCGGATTTGGAATAGGGGAACCCTGAAACAGACACAGCACAGCCCCGTCACATGCGCACCCCACGGGCTGTGGGGGCACGGACAGGGCAGGCTTCCGACAGGGTCAGGCGGGGCAGGGGGTGGCAGCACGCAGGAGGCCCTCTGAGGATCCCTCCCTCCTGAGTTTTGGCCTCCTGTCCCCAGGGCGTGGACTGGGGAAGAAGCAGGGCAGCTGATGTCCCAAGCCTTCCCCTGACACCAGGAACACACCTGGCCCCTGTGCTCACGCCATAGGGGTCCAGCATCACCTGTCCCCCAGGCTGGGCCATCCTGAGCCCGCGTCAATGGGGCCTGGAGACAATGTTACTAAGTAAGTGTTTGTGGTGGGGGGTTCCCGTGAGATTCCTAATTGCCAGCTTCTCTGGAAATAAAAAGGTTGAGTTGAGACCCTGGGGCTTTGTCCCTCCTGTGGGGCAACACTTGCTAGGCCACTGGGGACTGAGCCTGGGGGACCCAGGAGATGGAGGGCCCCAGTTCACCTCCTCGATGCTGTTTGGTGGGGGCAGAGGGAGCTCTGTCAGGAGGACCGCCTGGCTCGGGGGCAGGGCATGTTCTGGATGGAGGGGACTTGGCAGAGCCTGCCCCAGCAGGGCAGGCACCCACACCAGCAAGCGCTCTTAGGAGGCCTGTCCCTCAACTGTCTGTCCTTCCACCTTCCCATGGGCCCTCAGGGAGCAGTGCCAGAGCTGCCTGACCTGCGCATGCCCACCCCGGCAGTGGCCCAGCCTCGGGCAGTGTAGACCAACCTCCCCCACGGGATAGAGGTCCAGCTCACTCGTGGAGCTACGGGCCACCTGTGAGGGCTCCGAGGGGAGGGCAGGTCACGTGCCTCAGGGTCCAAATGAGCTGCTCGTCACGAGGGCTGACTGAGGACCGAGGACCGTGGGGCCGGGCAGTCCCTCCTGCCCACTCACCCGCTCTGAGCATCCTGGCCCTGATCCTGAGCCCGTGGCCCTGCGGCTGGATGCTCACTGCACCTGGACAGTGCCCAGCGCCCAGCTGCCGCCTTCAGGACTTGAAGTGTGGGGACTGCCATCAAGGTCACTTTACGCCACCGGCTGCCCAACTACAGAGGCCAGAGATGATCCTCCTACCACCGAATCAGACGGCCTTCAGCTTTGCTTCCACCACTGAATATGATTCAAGAAACTCAGACGCAAAGCGCCGTCTCCTGCGCGTGTCCCCTGTCTTCACCTCTCCCGACGTTCCCCCTCTCCCAACGCTCCCCCTCTCCTGATGCTCCCCCTCTCCTGATGCTCCCCCTGTCTAACTCCTGGCCTCGCTGGCTACGGCTGCCTGCGGGCTCGAACCTATCGGCCACTCTGGAAGATCTGCTAGGGACATGATTTCTTGGTTCTCTATCGTCTGAGAGTTCAGTTCCCATCCAAACCAAGGCATGTTTTCACTGACCGCAGAATTCGCGCGGCAGCTCCTTCTCCAGCATGGGGACCATGTGCCTCTCCCTCCCGGTCTCGGTCTCGGGGTCTCTGAGGAGCACCCACTGTCACCCGGTTGGGTGCGCTGCTACGGGTGATCATCTTTTCTCACTGGGCACTTGAAGACTTTTCTCTTCTTGCCCTTGATTTTCAGAAGTTTGATCATGGTGCATCTTAGTGTGGAAGTCTTGGCTTCTCCTTTTGGGTGTTCAGTTTCTTGAAGCTGTAGGTTTACCTCTTTTGCCAAGTTTGGTAAGTTTTCACCCATTATTTCTCTGAATGCTTTTTCAAGCCTGTTTCTCCTCTCTGGGAATCCAGCGGCTGGCTGTGGCTCCCTGTGCCTGAAGCTCCGGGGTTCTCCTCTCTCTCTTTTGTTTAGATCAGATGAATGACATTGCTGCTGCCAGGTCCCTGAGTCTCTCCTCTGTTGGACTCAGGTGTCCTGCTCCTGAAGCCGTCGGTGGATTCTTTCTCTTGCTTATCTTACTCCTCAGTTCGATACCTTCTGTTCTATTTTTTTAAAATAACTTCTATTTCTTTGGTGAGATTTTTTTCAGTTGTTTCAAAACTATTTATCGTTGCTTGCTGAAGCATTCTTTGTAATAGATATCTTAAAATCCTTGTCCAATAATTCAAATGTCCGGTTCTTCTTAGTGTCACTATCTGTCAATTGTCCTGTCTTGCTGCTGTGGTTAACTTATGACTCTCAATGTGATGAGTAAATGTTTTTATTAAATCCTAGGCATTTTGGATATTATGTTAGGAGACCGGATCTTATTTAAGTTTTCCATTTTAGCACCTGTCAGTCTGTCCAGGTTGAGTCTGTAGAGCCTGGTCTTTTAGGGGCTATGGTTCCAATGACAACTCAGGTTTCAGAAGGCCTCACAGAACCAGTCTGCCTGCTGTCCCCACCTGGTTGGTGTGGCTGTTGCTCCTGCCTGATTCCTGCTGGTGCCCCCCGGGGGGTCCGGTGTGCTACCTGGGGTCACCTTGTGAGGGCAGGAAGGGCAGGAGACCCTGGCCATGGAGAGGGCCACACCCAGGGCCTGTTATTCATCTGGCCTCTTCCTTGGTGTCTGTGAGTGCTGCTGGGGAGGGGACACCTTGGTCACTGGCCCCTGGATGGGAAGACACCTTCCTCTTCCTGTCCTGTGGTTGACTCCACCTTATTCTTGGGTCCCTGCAGTTACTGGGGAGAAGGAAGGGCCCTGTGAACTCATCAATTAAAACTGGTCTCTTTGGGAGGGACAAGTCATTGGTTGATTTCAAAGGTCCCAGGGTCCATGTGTGGCCAGGGCTGAGAGCCATTCATTTGAAAAGCCTCTTCACACATCCAGCTACTTCATTCAACTCTCACTGGCCTGCACATGGAACAGCAGCCCATTTTACATACGAGGGAGCTGAGGCCAGTGGATTGAGGGGCCTGTACCTGGCCAAACAGCTTCTAGCTAGAGAGGGCCCTGGGCTTTGGGAACTTCGTCTGCCCCAGGTCTGCCTGGTGGGTTTGCAGTCCTGTGGTCATCGAGGGACCCGCATGTCCAATTAAATCACCAGCCTTCAAGAACGTGTGGCACTCAAGAGAGAGACCCACAGGGAGAAGCGGGTAGGGAGGACATGGGTGGTCAGGACCCTGGCTCACACCAGGCCTTGCAAGCCCTGGACAACCAAGTCCAGGCTTAGCCCAAACATGCCGTCTGTGCGTCCGCTCAGAGGCAGCGTGTGGCCATCCTGCCCTGGCACCCCACGGGGCTGCTTCTGGGGCCCTAAACTCCTTCTCTTGGATCTGTCTTCTTCTACAGCAGCTTGTCAGAGGCCAGAGTAGCCACTGGACATTCAGGAAAAGACCCCTGTGGGTGGGTGGGTGTTCCAGACGCAGCAGGAGACACATGGTCACCACAGCATCCCAGGGTGCTCCGGACAGCAGGTCACTCCCAGGTAGATGGCTCTGGGTTCGGTGGCCTGAGGTGACTTTGCAGCAGGGTGGCCTGTGCCAGCTTCCCCACTGCTGCCCTTGGTCTCTGAGCCACAGGGAGCTACAGGCTCTTGCCCAGTCTGAGCTTCGGGCTTTGGGAGAAGTCAGATGTCCCCCACTGGCTGCTGAAGGGTTGCTGAGGCCTGGCTGTGGACTGCGTGTGCCCACCTGGCTGTCCCCTAACAGCCAGGCCAGAGGATGTCCTGTGCCTCGCCCCAGGGTCTCCCTGCCAGGAGGACAGGGTCATCCTGGTTTTCACAGATGAGAAGCTTATTTTTGTACCCATGGTTACACAGCAAGTGACAAGCTGAGATTCAACCCTGGGGAGCCGCACCCCAAAGCAGTGCTCTCTGCAGACCTTCACACGGTGCCTCTCCTGCGCCTGCCCACCAGAGGCCTGGAGCGCTGTCTGCAGACTCTTCTCCACGGAGACTTGGGGTGACACCCCTTCACCTCCCGTGCGCTCCGTGGGTGGGTGCTGTAGTGCTGGCCCCGTCTCCCAAGGCCTGCGGCTCCCTGGGGTGCCCTCCCTTCACGGCAGCGGTGTTTCTCCTGCAGCCGGGCTTCCCATTCGTGGGTAGGGATCTCCAGACCCCAGTTGGGGAAGACAAAGGACCTGAGTGTGTGGTCACCCTCCAAGGGCTGTACGGCGGCATCTGGATGGGCACGTGCACTGCCTATTGCCCACACGGTCCTCTCCTGGGCACAGGCTGCTGCTGGGCACAGGGAGGCAGGGGGTGTGCTAAATAAAAGCAGAGTCTCCAGCTGACCCCAGCGAAGGGCGGCGGGCTGCCCCCTGGGCTCCCAAGCCCTGCCCGCGCTGTTCCAGGAGGCTCCCCTGGGGTGTCTCTGTCCCCAGATCCAGACTCCTCTCCCGAGTGGGGTCTGTCCTGACAGATGGAGCTTCCTCTGCTCTCCCTGGAACCCCAAGACGGGCAGGGGCCAGAGGTGACCCTGTCCACTCAGGCTGGCCGTTCCCTTGCTGACAGTGTCCATACCACGGGACCTCCACCTGCCTGCTGGACACCAGGGCAGCCGAACCCGTGCTGCCAGCTCCCCGGCCTCTCCTCTCTGTCTTTCCCTGCAAAGAGTGCCACGGCTGCCCATCCCCGCCTCCTCTCCGTGGCTCCCCAGCGCTCGTCCTCTGCTCCTCCTCCTGACCCTCGTCCCCTCCCCACGATGCGCCAGGCAATTCCCATTTGCTGGCTTGCGCCTTCCCCAGCACTTGCAGAGACGGCGCACGGAAGAAGCTGGCAAGGAATGAGCTGGGAGTTGGGTGGGGAGGGAGAGCCCCAGCTTCGGGGCTAAGTGACCAGCTCAGGACGGACCACGTGGGTGTCCTAGCAGGCTGTGGGGCTCTCTGCATCTCAGGTTCCAGTCCACTGGGAACTGACGGTCCTCGGCGTCTGCCTCCGGCCCAGGGCACCCCCAAGAGCCAAGCCTGTTTCCCCAACTTCTGGTCGTGTCAGGTTTCCCAAGGGATCGTGAATAAGCTGAGCTTTCCCTCCCCATCTCTGAGTAAGGCAGCTCCGCCCCCCTGAGCCGAGCCACCTGGACACCCAGCTCCTCCTCGCTGTGCCCGTGCCCATATGCCCCGCTCATCTCCCTGGTCAAGGCTCCCGCTGCTCATCTGGGGCCACAGTCGCCCTCCAGCCCGCCTTCTGTGGAGTTGCCTGTCCGGCATATTGGACACTAGAGATGGACGCCCGTTTCCCACTCACGCCTGCAGTGACAGCAGCCTGCTCCCTGGCCCCCACCCGAGGCCTTCCTCGGTTCCTCACAGCTGCCCGGCGCCAGCCTCTGAACCTCTGGCCTAGCCCCGAGCCTGGACGCTGACTACTGCCTCCTGTTACCCCCTGCCAGAAACAGGCCTGCCAGGACAAGTGTCAGGTCGCCTGCGAACCCTGCTCTGAACCCTCTAGAACCAAGGGGCTAGTGACCTGGCCACACGGCTGAGCTGGCCATCCCACCGCCAGACCTGCCTCTGCTCTTTCCCCAGCCCTCGGGCCGGCCAGGGCTGCCCTCGCCCTCCAGAGACGGCCCCTTCCCCGACACCTCCGTATCCCAGCCACACTCCCCCAGCACTGCAGGCTCCCGGCTCACAGGGTGGCCTCGGGTCAGGCTCCAGCCCCTCTGAGCCAGCTCCCGGGACAGGCAATCTGGCCTGTTGGGCCTCTGCTCTGTCCTCTGGTCCCAGGACGACCTGGAACACAGACAGTGCTCATGAAGTACTTGTTGGTGACAGGGCCGCCCGCGTCCCCTCTCTGGGCCCACTTTGCCTGCCGTAGGATGAGGAAGCCGTGCCGAGGCTCTTCCAGGTCTGGGATGTGCACATCCCACCCCACGAGGCGGCCGGAGCCCCCACCAGGAGCGGGGCCCACCTGAGATCCACGGGTGGCCCATCAGGGGTCTGTTCCTCCCAAGCACAGACCAAGTAGGAGTGTCCCCTGCAGGGAACTTGCAGGACTCTGGAGGGGAAAGTGGAGTGTCCCTCTCACCACTCCTGCTGGCCAGGAGGGAAGGCCCAGGGCCAGGGTCCTGAAGCCCCCTGGGGGCCCCGGGAGGTAATGAGCAATGGCAAGCACGCTCAATCAGACAAGGGACTCGCAGGGGCCTCACAGTGGAGGGGACACACAAGGTGGCATGGAGGCCAAAGCCACAGCAGGTCTGGGGGAATGCCTAGGCTGTGTCTTCCTGAGGGCCTCGGCCACTGTCCCCAGCCTCCAGGTCTCTAGCTCTAACCTTCCTGACCTTCCTCTCTAGGCGTGGGGAAGGGGCTATGCCCGCTGGAGCGTCAGGCCTTCAGGGATGAAGCCCTTGGGGCAGGGTGTGCAGCCAGCCAGGGTTGGTGGCCCGCTGACACTTCCAATCACTGTGTGTGTGTGTGTGCATGTGTGCAGAGTGACCTCAGAGGAGTGGGCAGGGCCTGAAAGGTCCGGCTCGAGGGACCTGGAGCAGAAGCAGATCAGGCCAGGCCAGGCCAGGGTCCAGGACCTCGTGCTCCTGCCCAGGGCAGTGGGCCTTCCCCTGTGAGAGCCCCTGCAAGCCAGTGTCTTACAACAAAAGGGAGCCCCGGCCCTTCCTGTGTGGAATGTAGGGCCTCCACTCACATAGACTGGGGCACATGGCCAGGCACACTACGGAAGGAGGACAGAGGTGGCCCAAGGTAAGCCCTGTGGCACAGGGTCACCACACAGGCTTGTCATCCACTGTTGCTCTGTGCTGTCTAGCACCATGACCTGCACATAGTAGGTGCTCAATAAATCCCAGCTGGCGGGATGGATGAAGGGCTGAAATGAATCCAGTTTCGTGGCATGTCTGATGGTGTCATGGGTGAGATGAGGCTGTGACCAGGCCTGTGGGCCAGGAGGCACCTGGGGGGCAGGCAGCAGAGAGACACACCAGCACTGCTCCTGCCACCTGCCTCTCCAGTCCCTGCACGCTGCTCCGGACCAGGGGTTGCTCTCCTCTTCTCTGTCTCCCCCTCGGCGCTCTGCTCAGCGTCTGGCACAGAGTGGGTGCTCAATAAATACCCGTTGAATTTAATGCATCTCAATTCAACCAACATTTATTGAGCGCCCACTGTGTTGAGTGTCACACTCCTGCCTTCCTTGGCGCACTACAGATGGTGTCCTGGGGTGCAGAGGGTGGGCCCTGCCATGTGCCATTGCTCTGCTCTGATGGATCCGCCTTGGTGAGAGCCACAAAATGCCCAAAGAGAAAGTGGGCACTGCTCCCCTTCCCACCCCAGCTGCTCACCCGCCCCAGACACGCCCGGCTTGGTCTGCGCACGCTGGGAAGGGAGGGAACGTCCTCAGGACAGAGGCGCAGGCGCAGTCGTAATGCAGGACACGGTGGGTCTACGCACAGGCTGCTGTCGGGACTCCAGCAGGAGCAAAAGGCCGCTCACAGTGGTGACCGCAGCTCACGGCAAGGGCAGCAAGGCCGGGGCTCATGTGGGGCTCGCGCTGTGGAGGGGTTTCCCGCTTAAACCATGTCCCCACACTGGAGCTGGTGCCCGCAAGTCGGGTGCACCTGCATGGAAGCCATTGCTGTCCCAGCCGTGGCCACACGTGCAGCTTGAGGTGGGGACACAACAGCAGAGCTGACAGATGGGACTTGGGGTCCAAATGGCAAAGCAAGACACCTGCCACAGCCTGGCCTTGCGGGGACCAGCACCTGCTGTCTCCTGTGCCTCTGTGGCCCCGGGAGCCCTTGTTCTGGCGTTTGCAAGCGAGGAAGGGGTGCAGCCCGCATGCAGGGCCGCGGCAGGGGGCCCACAGGACCCTGTCTCCAGCTCAGCGTTTTCCCCACATGGAGCCCTCTCCTTCCTGGGTCCTGGACACAGGAAGGCCACACACTTCAGAGGGAGCTGCTGAGGCCACAGGTGCCCCTGCGCCCCGTGAGTCTGGGGGAGGTCATGGGCAGGGGACCAGGAGGACTGCAGTGGCCTCCTGCACTAGCAGGGAAGCGACCAGAAGCTGGGAGGTCCGCAACCCTGATTCCTGGTTCCAGGGCTCAGGCCTAGATGCCAGGACACACCCGAGGCAGGAGGGTGGCCCTCCACCTGCAAACACAGCCCAGGACAGAGGACTGTCACAGGGCAGCGGCCCCTGGGGGTGCAGGGAAAACTGGAGGACTGATGGGCAGCTACCTGCAGGGGGCACAGGCAGGTAAGGAGGGACCAGCGCCCCGGCCTGCCACGTCCCTGCAAGACCCCCAGGAGTCCCTCCCTGCTGGAGATGTCTTGGTGCCTCCCATGCTCACGTCAGCCTTGTGCCCCTGCTGAGACCCCACTAGGAGAGGGCTGCACCCCAGGAGGGATAGGTGCCCTGGGGGGTCCAGACATCTAATCACAGAGATCCTGCACGGAGCAGAATCTCTCTCCCTCCCGGGGATTCTCTGACGCACCAGCAGTTCCAGGCATCTGCCCGGCCTGGCTGCCCTGCACCAGGGCGCTTTCCTGAGGATGGCGCACTTTATACCAAAGGTGAGGGTGAGGATGAGGTGAGGGTGGTGACCAGGATGATGCCGCTGTTTACTGAGCACCTACTACCTGCCAGGCAGGGCGCTGCCTGAGCACCCAGTTCACCTTCCCCAAGACCCACGAGGCAGTGGGCGGAGCTTGTCCACACCACAGTTGTCCACCCTGGGGCTAGGTTTGCGCGAAGGTCAGTCTCACTGCGAAGCCTTCCTCTGCCTTTCACACCCACGTCCCCTGACCCAGCCTCCTCATCCAACCTCAGTCCTAGCTTCCCCCCTGAAAACCACCTTCCCAGCTCAGAGGCTGCTGGCCGCGGCCCACTGCAGCCTCTCACTGTGATCTCAGCACACTGCAGCGAGCACGATGGGAACAATTTAGAATTTGAACATTTGAAGATCACTCCTGATTCAGGCTTTGTGACAACCCAGAGTCCAGCAAATGACAGCTTTGTCTGCTGTGAAGTCTGAGGCTCTAATGCCTGGGACTCTCCAGTGCCTTGCTCAGGGTGCCACAGGGACAGGACAGTGCCCCATCACCAGCCGGGTCTGGCCCCGCCTCCTGGACCATGCCCACACCTGCTCTGGAGGGAGTGGCCCCGGGAGCTTCTTGGTGACCTCACCTGGAAGTCACCTGGCTCTCTACTGCCGCCCAGCTCTGGGTGTCAGCAGGAGACAGCACTGTGGCCCGGCACAGCCAGCTATGTCCTCACAGAGCCGCCCGCTGTCCTGTGGGGTGGCCCTACCTTTGCTCCTACGCCTTCACCAAGCTGCGGCCCCTGTGCCGGAGCCTCCCATGCACACCACCGCCCGGGCTCGGCAGGGCCACTCACGTGGAGAAAAGCTGTCTCCTGGCCCTCTCTGCAGAGGGCCTCGCTCTGTTCCACTGCTGTGGGACAGAGACTGGATGTCCAGGTCTGGAGAGTTCGTCCTTGTGTCCGAGTCCCCCTTGAGGAGGAGCCAGCTGGTCTTCTGCAAAGGCAAAGGAGTCATGGGAACTTTGAGGTCATCTGCAATGGGCGCATCTCACCGGACCTTCCAGGGGCTTCTTTCTTACTTCTAACCAGCGAGCTGACCCACTGCAGGAAGCTCCTGTGTGAGATCAGCTTTAAGTACCTGGCCACCATTCGGGGTGAGTTGTCCACCTGTTCCACAGGAAAGTGGGGCTGCCCATCTTACAGACAAGAGCACTGAGGCTTGGGGGTCAGCACCCCAGGGGCTCCAGCAAGCAGCCTGACTCCTTCCCTGGACTCCCCCTCTTCCCTAAAGACCAGTGGGCAGGGAGGGGCTCAGCCTGGGCCAAGTCCTGCCGGCAGTCACTCTGTGATCAAAGTGTGTGACCCCCCAGGAGGAAGACGTCCACCCGCTGGCCCCGAGTGGAAGATGCCTAAAACCCACTCTAGAACCATCATCCTGTGGTCCCAGAGGCACTGACAGCGTCCTCAGCTACGGCAGGTGACTGGATACCCAGCCGGGCCACCTCAGTGCGAGGGGGGCTGGCGACACGCCTCCCACCTCTGTCCTTTGGGGACTCTAAGGAACAGGGCAAGAGGAGGAGCCTGGGGTTCAGCTGGAGGGGCCACCGCGGGGCTTCCGGGGAGATCCGGTCCTCCTTACCTTCCTGTTATCCTGGTCGAAGCTCCCGTCCTCCCCGTCCACTCGCCTCGCGGCTGGAAGGGAAAGTGAACCCGTGAAGGCCGCCGCCATTCGCCCTCCCGCCTCAGTCATGCTCAAACCCAAGACGGCCGAGGAGGGTCAAGAGCAGGGTGCCCTGGAGGACCAGGCCGGGCAGGCTGGAGCAGCTCCGGGGAGGGCTGCCCGCGAGGGGGCACGGGCCTCGGAAGCGTTGTCATTCCCTTCCCCACGTGGAGCGAGGAACGGCACTGCCAGAGGCGCCGCCTGGCCTTTGAGGAACACCTTCTACCTCTCAGGGGACACCAGAGGAGCGGGCCTCAGTCAGGGACCCTCGGTGTCACCTCCAGCTACATGCCTCACCTCTCACCGCCTGGCCCTGCCAACCCTGAAGGAAGGGGCGTCGCCACTTCACAGACAGGGAGGCGAGCCTCAGGGAGACGCCACGGCCCAGCGCAGGGACTAGCGGGGCGGGGGCTGACCGGAGCCCAGGGAGCCAGGGTCCAAGCCTGCCCCTACCTGCCTGGCTCCCTCCTGCTGCCCGCAGACACGACAGCGAGAGAGCAGTGCCCCAGAGGACGCCATGGAGAGCAGTAAAGGAGGAGAACCCAGGGGCGGGCTGGGGCTCAGCGGCAGAGCACTCGCTAGCACGGGCGAGCCCTGGGGTCGAGCCTCAGCACCACAGAGACAATGAAATAAAGGGTTGTGTCCAATAAAAATAAATAAATAAATATTTTAAAAAAAGAAAAGAAAAGAGAATCCAGCCAGAAACAGCTCAATGTCACAGAGCAAGCAGGAGCTCATTGTGCCACAATTTGTTCACAAGAATACTGTCCACAGCAGTTGGGGGAGTTGTCACGCTGCAGGCTGACATTTCCAACCAGGATGGAGCTGAGAGACCACACAAGGGCATGCTGACACCTCCCGGCATCCAGGCCGCATCCAGAGACCTTCCAGAACCCCAGACTAACACAGCACCCCATGCACCGAGAAACGAAATGGAAACCCGGGCTCCTTCCCAGCTGGCCTCGGGGCTGGGCCAGGCCTGAGCAAGGCCGCGCGGAGCTGGGCGCTTACCTGCAGCCTGCGGCGGGCTGGGACCCGTCAGCCTTTTGGAGCAGCCTGCCTCCTGCACCACCAAGGACAAGACTGACACCAGGCCAGAGAGCTTGGAAATTGGGGATTGGGCTACAGGACCTTGACAAGATAAGGCCGAGAGTGAAGTCTGAGCACGTCCATTCTGGACGCACAGACACTCTTGCTCTCCATGGCAACCTTTCTCCCTCCATGGAGACAGCCACTTTCAAAGCCCTGTCCTCTCCGCTCCCGGAGGCGAGCAGCAGGGCCTTCGAGGAGGTTGTGATGGAGAGACAGCGGGCGGGGAGCCCAAGCCTGACAGTGTGGCGCTACTGTTGCCTTGACAACAGCCACACTGGGCAGTGGTGCCCTTGAGTGTGGCAGACATCAGCCCACACTTGGGAGCTGCCCAGCCAGCTGCAAGGACGAGCAGGCTGGGTGTCACCAGGGTGACTGGGAGCCCTGGAAGCACACCACTGCCCACACTGGAGAGAGCCTGGCCCTGCGAGCCAGCAAAAATGCCAACCCTGTTCCTGAGAGCCAAGAGGCCACTCTACCCTTGGAATGTCTGCAAGGGCAAAAGGCAATTAAGGGGCTCTTTGAGGGCTTGGGGTCCGTGGCTGGGAGGACTTCTCAGTCCTGGATAATGGGTCAGCCAGACATGTCCTATAGAGCTGCCTCTGGGCTCCAGAACAGACCCACCATTTGCAGAAAGAGATGTTCTGCCCAGACTCAGCAAATTCCCTCTGCAAATGCCACCAGCTGCCCAGGTGTGCACAGTCTACCAGGCTGGAGCCAACGCTGCTCAGAGTGAAGTTCACCAGCCCGCAAAGCATACCATGCACTCGCTGAAGAGCTAGGAGCCTGGGCAGGAAATCATAGGAAACTGGCACTTTGCTCTATTGGTAGCTTGCTTGCTCCTTTACCAGCTCTGAACCTCAGTTTCCAGATCTGAAAAATGGGTGAATGATGCTTACACCTCCAGGCCAGGAGGAAGACTCTCCCATGAACACCACCCATGGAGCGCTGGCCTGCAGACTTGGAGACCCCAGCAGCAGGAGGGGCTGGAGGCCATGCGAGGCCAATTTGTGGCACGCTGTGTGGGCTGCCAGGAAAACACAGACCTTCTTAGGACAAGCAGAGAAAGTTTAGTGTGTCTTTTGTGTATAGTTGGGGGTCCTTCTGAGCCCTAGAAGGCATTTCCACTCCCATGTCCCTGGGGACTCTCCGCTAGAGGTGCCGCAGTGAAGGGGAGCCTCTGATTCCCTTCCCGGAGCCCGAGCAGGCTGGCCTTGCCTCTCTGCCACACCTTCTCCACCCCATTCGCATCTGGACGTCCCTTGGGCGTGTCCACATCCCTCTGTACTCACCTATTCCTGTCTATCCACGCGTTCAGCTGCCCTTAACTTCCCACCCCCCATCTGTCCACCCACCCGCCACGTAACCTGCTGCTCATCCCCATGGCCAGCCACATATCCTCCCGACTGTCAGCTGCTACCCCTGTGTCCACTGAATCCACTCCTTTGCCCACTGACGTGTCCACTGAGCCAAGCTGTCCTTTATCCCCGTTCTGCCCTCTGCTGCCCTCTGTCTGCCCTCAGCCTTCCTCTCCCTTCACCAAGTGCCCAGTGTCCTGAGTGCGGGACGCAGAACACCCAGACCAGACCTTTGTCCTCCAGAAGCTCGCGGCCAGGGTGCGAGGTGGACAGGGGATTAGAAGGTCTCAAGACGCTATAGTGAGGGCTTTGATGAGGGCAGAGTCAGCACACAGGTGCTCCCAAAGAGCATGCGTGTATGAGCACTTACTGAATACCTACTCCTGGGTCAGGCCCTGTACCCTGGTCTGGTTAGACGTGTGTTAACAGGTATAGCGCACGTGCGTCCCTCACCCAGGCAGGGAGGCCGAGGTGCAGAGTGAGGTGCAGAGCCGGTCACCCGAGCTCACACATGTGTTCTCCCTGGTAGATGCATGAATCATGGGACTCAGGGCCATGTCACCCCAGCTTTACTTATCATGACTTGTATGCAAATCCTCCTCCCCCACCCCCAGGTGGCTCCTGGGGGAGAGGCCTGGTGGCCCCTTGGGGACTTCACGAGGTGACATGTGCACAGGGCTTACAGAGGAAGCCAGGAGGCGGGTGTAGCACAGGGGCCACTGCTTCCAGGGGACCCTCCGTGGTGCAGGGCCTGTTCCAGAGTAGGTATTCAGTAAGGGTTCACACATGCATGCCTCTTGGCTGCCAGCATTGGCAGCTCCGATCTCCAAGGCTCTTTTGCTGGTATCTAGAGGGAAAGTGGGGCTGGGGGCCAGTCTGGCCCCTGTTCTAGGGGCCTTGAGCTCTGGCCGTGCTCTGCCTGCAAATCACCACTCCAGCACCTGCCAGGGCCCAAGGCAGGATGGGCTCAGGGGTGGGTCCAGGCTGGGTCCAGAGGTACTCACCCCCACAAGGGAAGGAACCTACAGGACAATCCATCTTGCCCTCTCTCCTGGCCTGGGGCTATAGGGGGTTGGGAATCTGCTCCTCCCTTTAGCTCCTGGGCTCTAGGAATAGACCCACCACTCATCTGATTCCCCCATGAGGTTCCCAGCTCTGCAACTCAAATGGAATTGGGATTAGAGAGAGAGAGAGAGAGAGAGAGAGAGAGAGAGAGAGAGAGAGAGAGACAGAGAGAGAGAGAGAGAGAGACAGAGAGAAAAAAATAAAAAGGGCTGGGAATGTAGCTCAGGGCTAAAGTGCCCCTGAATTCAATCCCCCATGCAAAAAATAAAAAAGAGAGCAAAAAATAGA